AGTAGTGGTGGTTGTGTATTTTCAAAAAAGCCCCAGGAAAACTTCACCAATTCCCCAAATAGTGACAAGCAATGGCCGACAGCAATGAGTGAACAGCTCTTTTGGCTGGAAATGTCTCACTAGAGTGGCAATGTCACATGATATTCTCTAAAGAAATCTAGAGACAGTTCACTGATAACTTGCAGCCTGCTCCCCTCAAAAAAAGACCTCAAACCACTAAAGGTGGTACCAAAAGCTGTGACTGAGGTATGAAGCAGAAGCAGAAGGGCTTTCCAAATCCAAATCTTCTTTTGAAATCCTGACAGAGAGGTTACTGCTCCAGAGGAGATATAGTCCCTGTTCTGCTCCCTCTTATCTGCAGCCCAACACCCAGCACTGTTAGTTTGTGGCTGGATTGGACAAACTGTCCAGAGTATCTAGTGTCATTGCTGCTTGTTGCGCATCCTCTCTGGCAATTTTTATTTGATCTATTTAATGATTAACGGGCATGCTTTGCTTAATCCTGTTCAATGGTACTGAAGAGAAGGAACAGACAAGACCAGATGGACACAGCAAGATACTTTTTGTAGCACTGTAAGTACCCTTTTAATTTGCCCTTGGACCGTTTGCACATTATATGTGGGGGGGATTATGTTGTTTCCTGGGAAGGACACCTTTTTACATGTAAACAAAGGTATATACTTCACATGCAAAAAAACCAAAACATGCCAAAAACCAGCAAAAACTGGCTGTTAGTGAAGAAGATACTCCACATAATTAAATAAAAATTTGTTTTGGAAACAATAAAGATGCCTATAGACTTTGCTACCACAGTGATCCAATATTTTCTCTTTGAAGAAAGAGTAAGTACTTTGAAATTTTGGTCCTAGACAGTAGGACGTGTGCTTATACCTCTTTTTTTTTTTAAAACACATTTCATTCTCTCATTATTTGATGAATTGAGGAAGACTAACAGGGCTGCAGTGGCCATCCTACAGTACTGAGTGCAAAATCAATTTCCTCCACCTACTCTGGGAAAAAGGTTATAATTTTCCAGTTATTTGCAAGTTTTTGAACATTCAGTCCTACCCTATTTTTTAAAAGTCAATACGATCCAAATGACTGCTTTTGAGAGAGTACTTGGTTATACAACTAGTGTATTAGGAGGCATATTCTTTCTGGGGATCACTGGCATGTATTAAGAATGTGAAATATAAAAGTATGTGATTTTGGAGAACAGGTATGGTCTGAGAGCCTCATTTTACTTGGCTGGATGCACAGAATGAATAAATTCATTTCCATGCCAATTTTCTATGTTTATCTGTTTTCCAGAAACAGTTAAAAGGAAAATGAAGCCCATCTTCTCCTTGTGTTTATTGCTGGCTGGTTTGTATACTGCTGCCCACTGTCGTCAGCATCCTCATTATCTCAGTAAGCAGGATGATCCTAAAGGGACATATTACCCACAATGCAGTTCTCATGGGAAAGGAGTTTATCCAGTTACTTTCGGTAAACTAGTTTCCAGCAATGCTGACTTTGCATTCTTATTTTACAAGCTGATTGCATCCGAAGCAACTGATCAAAATATTTTCTTTTCACCCATAAGCATCTCTGCTTCCTTTGCAATGCTGGCACTTGGTGCCAAGTCAGCAACACTGACGCAGATTCTGGAAGGGCTTGCCTTTAACCTGGAAAAGACTCAGGAGCAGGAAATACATGAAGGTTTTTGCCAGCTCCTCCACATGTTGAACCGCTCAGACACTGAACTCCAGCTGAGCCTAGGCAATGCCCTTTTTATAGAAGAGACACTAAAACCACTACAGAAGTTCCTGGATGATATCAAAAGCTTTTATGATTCTGAAGTCTTTTCTACTGGCTTTAACTCCTCTGGTGCAGAGAATCAGATCAACAGTTATATTGAGGAAAAGACAAATGGGAAAATTGCTAAACTAGTGGAAAATCTTGATCCTTTCACCACCATGGTTCTTGTTAACTATGTCTTCCTTAAAGGTAAGAAATATCAAAGGGTGTGAAGGTTGTAACTTAGATGCTTGCTGCTTATTACAGGGAATGAAAGCAAGAGAAAGAAAATGTAGATTAAATATTTTAAATGGAGGAAAACAAGTTCAGTATATGGAAAATACCACATATTGCTATAAACTCATGTATATTCCTTATCAGTATAAATGTGTCCTCACCTGGTTGAGTGAAAGACTAGTGGTTTTGGTTTTTTTTTTAACAGTTATCTTTGTTGAGGTTGGTAAATTCTTTATGTTTTATAGGCTCATGCTCTACTGAAAGATGATGTTTTCAATATTATGTTTCTGCAATTGTCTTTAAACACCTGAAATAGAAACCAAAAGAGCTGCATAACACCTGGGGATGCAGTAGCTTGAAAAAGATATTTGCTCTAATCAAAGGAAGGCTGTGGGACTAGATCCCATTTTATTCACCATGACCATTCCTCTTTGTATTCCGCTGAATTATTTTTCTTTTTTTCCTAAGCCCAGTGGGAGAAACCCTTCAGTACTTCATATACAAAACAGGAGGATTTTTTTGTGGATCAGGAAACATCTGTAAAAGTTGACATGATGTATCGAAAGGGTTACTACAGAACTTACTTTGATGAAGAACTGTCCTGTTGGCTGGTTCAGATACCTTACAATGGAAATGCTGCAGCGTTATTTGCTTTGCCTGACAAAGGGAAGATGAAGCAAGTGGAAGATGCTCTCTTGAAAAGGACTGCATCTAAATGGGGAAAGTTCCTCCGAGACAGGTAAGTGTTGTTGCTGAAAGGTGACCATATTATAAATTAGTAGAGTTTATCTCACCAAGACAAAACATCAAAGGCCACATTATTCTACTGAACTCTGGTTGCTTGATGGTACCTCTGTATGCAGGACTTCTTTCTTAGCACGGAAGTTACAAAGAACTGCGGCTAGCAAACAAGTAGGGCATTGAACTTGCGATCCACCTAGGGTTAAGCTCTGGCTCAACCAAAAGTTGCTTAGCACCAGAATGAAGATAGGAGACCCTTGTTTCATAAAGATATTTTGAAACTATAATGAAGTAGCTATTGGGTGTTTGGGTGTTGAGACCATTATAGGTAAAAGCAAGAATTTCACTCATTCACCATTACTGCAGCTACTCCTGTGGTGGCCCAAGCCCCGTTGCATATTCAAACAGCCTTAGGACAGTTATGATTTCTTTAAAAAACCCTGCTCCCTGCTTGCCACAGAGTTGGTGCAGTTGTGTGGTGTCCAACCCACTGTGGAGGCAGAGGATAACACAGGCTCATTTTGCTCCAACCCTCCACGTTAGATAGCTAGCCTGATCAGAAGTGCTATCTGAACCCTGAAAGCAGACTTTCAACATTTAGAAAAATAATTTGAAGTGTCATTATACTGAAGCCATTGAGGAGTGTTACCTAGATGACAATTTGTTCCCGTTTGTGGTATTTTTTTACAGGAAAATACATCTGCACATTCCAAAACTTTGTATTTCTGGTACATATGATGTGAAAAGTATAGTCAAACAAGTGGGGATGATTGATCTGTTCACTGAACAAGCTGATCTGTCAGGGATTACTGAGGAGCCTGGACTAATGGTTGCAAAAGTAAGTCAGCCCATGAAACACAGTAACCACAGGATTTAGCTATTCCAAGGAACCTGACATTAATATCCCATGAAAAGATTATCCCTGTCTCTCTGAAGCATCACTCAGTCATCAACAGCTGCCAGACTAGAGGCAAAGCATTCCCTATATTTCCTAAATCTGAAGCCAAACATGCTTGCAAGGCTATATGTACACAGTTGGAGAACAAGGAAGAAGACTTATATATAATTAACTGTTCTTTTAGCTACTAAACAAAATTATCCAAAGCTAGCACATTAGCTTTGGTAAAATTTCCCCTAATTCTGCATACAAAGGGCAAAAGGCTGTTATTCCTGCTATTCTAGTACTTTCAAAAAAGTTGGTTTTTTTCAGCTAGATGGTAGGGTAAATTCACAATAATACATGAAGCTGCCAAAGGCAAAACTAAGCCTAGGCTAAATTACCAGGTTTCTTTGCTACCAGAGTTTCTTGCCAACAGTCATCTTGATCGCTCTTTGGCTGTCTGCTGTTTGAGGGTTACTCTCTGCACATGCAGTGAAGGAGGCTAGCAGGAGTGGTCTGATAGCTGATTGTGCTGCAGTGGGAAGGGGAGTGTCTGGTGATGACCTTCGCAGAGGTTGGTGCTCTTGGGTCTTGCTCCAGGCAGGGCTCCCTTTGGCAAGAGCAAGGAGGGTGGCAGGCTGCTCTTTTCTTGCCAGGTTGTCATCTGGAGGTTGTTTGGCTTTGTGTCTTTGCAGGTGATCCACAAAGCCATACTGAATGTTCATGAAAATGGCACTGAAGCAGCTGGGGCCACGGTTAAGGAGATTACCTGGCGATCTGGAGATTTTCTTCATCCACCTCGAATCAGATTCAACAGGCCTTTTCTCCTGGCAATTCTGGATAAATACACCCACACCATCCTTTTCATGGGAAAAATTGTAAACCCTCTGAAAAATGACTGATCCACCAGAGAACGTGCACTTATTCACATTGCTGGCTGCGATCCAGCGAAACACCTGTGCATGCACGCCATTATGTACTAGTGCTCATCTTTCACCCGTTATCCTTATATACATTATTAATCCCTTAAAAAACAAACCCTATTTTTCCTTGTCCAAAAAGTCACTGGTATTTCCACCAGTCTATAGCTGGGGATAGCTTGTAGTGTCAGAGCATTTTTTACCAGTTTTGTAAGAAGCTCTTCCTGACATGCTCCAGTGGGTTATTTGAGATGGCTCAAAGCCTCTAGATAATGTAGCTGCTGCTGTACACTCATGGTGTGTGTACTGGACAGCAGAAAAAGGGAATCAAGGAAAAGGAGGTGTAAGGTATAAATCCTGTCTCTTTAATACTCTAACCTTAATGACTAGCTTTAAATATAGATTCCCTTAATACTGGAGTGAATTTCCAATAATTTATTTGGTTTTTAACCAAGTATGGTGTGAAGCTGCAGGATCAGTGACTGGGACACTGGAAGATACACCAACCAATGTAAAGGGTTGATGTGTGCAGCTAGTTTAGCTCACCTCTCTTTTTCCTCTTCAGAGGAAGCTGTCCTCATGAAGATAAGAAGGTTGGTTTTGCTCTACAAATAATATTTATTCTACTAAGCAAGGAAGCCATAGCAGCAAAAAGACTCTGTATTATCCTGTTAATACAACTATTATTGCCAATGCCCTGAGATAAAAGTATGGTGAAGCAGTACATGGCATAACACCAGTTTTCTTATTATGGATTTATCATCACTGTCATTTCTCTTTTCTCCTACTGATGCCATGTTTACTCTTACACTTTCCAGCTAGACATGTCAGACTGCATCAGAAAAGAGGAGGAATAAGGGATTATAACCCTGGAGAATTTGCATTTCTTCAGTAGGAAGACCAGAGCTTTCCTAGAGACTGTTAACATGCTTTAAACTATCATAGAGACGCATAGAAAATGCAGCTAATGTTTGAGAAGTCAACTTCCTAAATGGTAGATGTGGATTACTGTTATGGAGTAAAAACATATTGTGAATTGATATGTTTACCTTTTCACTTTTAAGGTTTCCTGAGTTTAACTTTTTACAATTGTGTTGTTTTATAGCGAGACAACTGAGAGGATTTTAACATATCAGCTACACTAAATAGTTGTACAGTTGTGAAAAGAAACACAAATCAATCAGTAAACATTAAATTTTTTTCTTTATTTTTTTAAATCAACAGCCTTAGTATGTCTTAGTAAAATATAGAAAGCCAATGAAAGTGCTTAAGTTACAGATTTATTAAAACTTTTGCAGCAGAATCTCAAACTGTTAGAGAAGAAGTAAAATATAAATGGCAAATTTCTAGACTTTAGTCTCTTAAAATACCTGTGAAAAATATAACTTGAAAGTTATGTTGAATATTTCTAAAATATAATTATTTTGATTAGTTTGGGGATCTTTACTTTCTTTGAAATTAAGTCATTGACATCAACATTAGTAAATTGTAGCTGTAAGTGTACCAATAAGGAACATAAGAACCTTTTTATATCAAACTTCCAGCCATATTAACACTTGACATTCACTCTCAAAGCCCTCATCAAAATCATGTAAATTATTAACAGAAGTTTCTTACTCATAATTGTATTTAGTCTGTTCAATATTTAGTAACAAACAGTTGGCTTCATACCTCTACAAATAAAAGACCTCTACACATATGCTTCATACCTCTACACATAAGACAAAAAAGTCTTAGCACAATACAGTTAAACAGATTCTACAGAAAATCATTCCAAAACCCTTGGCAAATCTCAGGGCTAATTCAGGACAGTGTGCTGAAGTCCAGCTTTGCAATGACGAACAACTCTGTAGGCAAGACTGTGTTCCTTGTACTTCATGGACCTCAGATCAATAGTCTCCATTTGTTAGTAGGAAAAAAAAACCCAAACCAAAATTAAATGACATTTTGCTAATCAGATCTCACTGAGGGGTAACCTTTTTGCTCAATTTATTTGAAAGTAGATGAAGAAAATTTAAGCTGAATAAAGATCTGGATAACTAAAAAATACCAAGTTGGTAGGGAATTGTCTAAAAGAGGGAGTAGCAACCATATGCATATGTCTTAACTTGGTTTTCTTTCTAACTACAATCAGGGAACGTCATCATTGGAAGCATGCAGCAAATTTGTGTGGTAAATAACAAGTACAGAAGGATTGCACAACACTCCCAAAACTGTCAGCCTTAAGGTTATCACAAATCCAGGGCGGTCATGGTTTCTGCAAGACAGTATTTCTCATCAGACAAGAGATATTGCAGGCTCTTATAATAATTAAGGTCCTTTTAATTTGTTTTCTAACATATAACAACTAAATAGCCACATACTGTTAGCATTGTCTTGATACTGAATAACCTATTGCATTCTTGTACTGTATGATACTGCTCTTTCTGCATGCCACTTTTAGGACATAACAACAAAGAAAAACATTAGTAAGTTTTATAAAGTTTTTGTAGGGATTGACACCATGATGATTCAGGGATGGTGAGGTAAGGGTGTCTCCTTAATGACAGCGTGCTTTTCCTGGTGCTTTTCATTGATCAGCACACCCACATTCCCATTAATAGGAAAATGGTTATCCCTATGGGAAAATAGTGCCATTCATGTCACATACCCATCACTTGGGGGTGCCTGATTTCTCAAAATCAGATGTCATGTATTTCATTAGGTATCCAGACTGTCTAGCAATTCTCTCACAATTAGTAATTAACAGATATTTCTGGGCAATACTATGTGAATTTCTCAGCTCTTGAAGAAGTTGGTGATTACTTATGGCTAAAAACCTGGCTTCTATTGCCACCAGAAACTTGGCAGCTATGAACATGCTGCGGCTGAGATCCACACAGCCAGTGTCCATCACCTGCTAATCACACTAACACCTAGGCTCAGAAAGCCGTTATGAAAGATGTATTGCTCAAGGCAGTGCTTTCCTGCAGCCTACACAGAGCCTTGGTAACCCCACATACCTCATGAATATCCCCGGCATATGTCAGATGGAGTTACCAGCATCATAATCGCGTATGTGAGGTATGGTTTGGGCTCAGAATGGGGGGTATGAAGGCATCAACAGCTTCATTGTTGGAATGGATCTAGAAAATGTTTTCTGGAAGGGAGTATATTTAATCATACCACTGGCTGCTAAGAGACTGCAAAAACCAGACCAAAATGAATGCACTTCACACAAAAATTTCCAGGCCTTTTAAATGGAGAGCCATAATGTTTACTCAGTAATTCTGCTATATATTAGATTCCTGGCTTGTGCTCTGTCATTTGGCCAGGAGAAAAAATATCTGTGGGGAAGAACGGAAGGTCTGTGGTCATTTGACTCCTGCAAAGTCTTGGCAAAGGGTTGTATTTTTCTTCTTCAAACACAACATGGTTTGGTCACTTCTGTTTTAAACACAGAATGAAATTTCTTTCCTATTAGAAAGATACATACGAAGACAGTACAGTATTATGATAATTAAATGCTGATGCACACAGGCAAGTCAATCACTATAAGTATTGATGCTTTTCACACTTTTACTTCTTTAAAACTTCCCTCCTGTGCATGTGAAGTTTACCTGGTTCCAGACTGTGGCTGAAGCTTTCTTCCAGATAAAGGTTCACAGGATGCTTTTCCTGAGAACCTTCTGAGAAATGTTTCTAGATTATGGTCTCAGAGTTTGAAATTATAGAACTGTCAGAACATCTCACTAGCTCGACCTACTTCAGCTTTCCAGGAATAGCCACCTGCTTCAATATCCAGAAACCTATGATTGCCATAAACCAGAAACAGCTTCATAAGTCAGAAACAATTTCAGTCATAAGCTGTTTCAGTCTGGGGGAAAGGGCTGGAAAAGAAATAAGGTTACACTGACCATCAGCTGTTGACGCGGGAGTCATGGACAACGCAGAGACGAACAATGTGATCAAGTGATTGCCAAATTTATTACAAAGCCTTAACTCCTTATTTACTATATCTTACATGCACTTACAGTGATTTGGCATATTATGATTGGATACATGTCTTGAAGACCCTTAGTGACTAACATATAATTGGTTAAGCACAGGTGTGAGAACTTGACCTCGAAAGCTTGCCAACAGTCCACAGTTCTCATTAACTCAGTGAATTCCAGCTTCTTCTTATCTTGCTTGCTTAAGCTTCTTCGGGCCTCTCATGGCCTTGCTGTATCTTTCAGGATTATTCAGAGTTTATGTACTAATTATGCATTCTCCTGTGAGAACACTGTCTCCACACATCAGCAATGGGTGGATCCATAAGCAAACCATGCTCTAGCTGAGCTGTAGGCTTTTCACCTCATTTTTCACATCTTGTTCCCTCTGGATAGATGATTTTGAGATTTCTTATGAGACTTGTCCAGTTTAAATGGACCTGTAAGTGTTTGTTATGAGCTAATTGAAAAATGCATCTCGGATTTTTACCAGAACAGCTTCTAAAGCACCTGAACCACTAAATGCCTTCATTGAAAAAAGAGAAAAAGGAAGAAACCTTCCTCAGAAGCTAATTTATAGTCTCCAGGATTGGTTTTTACTTCTTATCTGGTTGTATTATGCTGTGTGGAGTGCAAGCAATAGAACAAAGAGCGGAAGAGAACAATTCGGCTAAGGGGGCATCTTGCAAGTGGTGTGAACATGAGAAAACACTTGTATTAGAGACCATGCTACCTGTGTTATTTATGGTACATTTTCTTATTTCACCTGTGTAAAAGAAGTGGGTTTGGCAGTGGTGATAAAAGGGAATCACTTCTCTGCAAAGCAAGAACTTGGAAAATAGCTGTTTTTGTGAAATGGTGAGAAAATAGAAATTATCTTGGAGGTTCTGTGAAGAAATATGTCATGTCGTGAAGAACACTGGGCTTCCTTGCAAAAAAAAGCAAAAGTATATAAAAGCAGGTGGCAGGGAGAGGGAGATTTCCAGGGTGGCCAAGATGCCCCCATTGTGCTGTGAGAGGCAGAGGTACAAGCTGGGGTCCTTCTTGAACCTGCCATGAGACAGAAGCAGGGGAGTGAGAGCAGACTAGCAGTACACTGGGGTTAATTAGCTTATCTGTCTGGGCAGGCCACCACTCAATTATAGACTTTGAGTCTTTCTAAGGCTTGACTGGAACTTAATTAGCAGATGTTAAAGCTTTTGGCATAAATAAGCCAGAACATGATGCCAACGGAAAGAGAATCAAAGGAAATTATTGTAGGAAAGAAGATTTTCTCTTACTTCAGTCAGATGCTTGTTAGTCACAGGGCACAGGCTCAGACCTGTGCAAGTGCACTATTGCTTCTTGGAGTCCAAAGGTTGACTGGAACGATTTTACATTTGCATTGTCTTTTGCTATGTTTATAACACAGATAAAGGTGGTTTTTTTTTAAGCTTTTGACTAGTTTTTGCAGATCCTTGAGTCTTTGGGGCAGCCTTCCTGAATTCCCTTCTCTAAGGAAAGCTCATGTGTAGGAGCTGGCAGCTGATGTGATGCAATCACTTCTTGCTCTTTCTTCCTTATTTCAGAAGCACATGGGGATCTCCCTGCACCAAGCCATGTAACATTTTTAGAGCACGGCAGCAAAAGGAGTTTCTCTTCTGAGAGGTATTTAAATCTGTTTTAACTGACAGCAATTTCCACTTCAGAATCTGTTCAAAGACTGCTCTCTGCCAAGCTCAATGAGCTGATGGATACCTCTCTTTTGATTCCGTAGATCTGGTAGAGTGAAGTTGAACCCAGTGTTTAGTTTAGACCCATTGGCACCCAGTTCATTCAATGAAGTACTATGGATCATAAAAGAGGTGATCTGAGTTTCAGAACTCAATCTGAGGTGATTCACTTTTGTGTCATTTTTTGGATAGTGTAACATGTGGAGGCTCCTTAGAGAAATAATTCACTTTCTGCACTAAAAAGAAATTAAGAAAAAGAGGAAGACAAAACCACAGCTGGGATAAGCATATAATTTTAGTTCCTGCTTCTTTAAAAAAAATCTTTTCTGCAGTTGTGTTGCTGTACAAATGAAGGCACCACAGATATACATCTTCATTTAACTCAGCACAGCAAAATTAAAAGAGCAAATTAGTTTAGCAGCAGTAAGAGGGGTCTGATATGTCCCATCTTTGTATTTTTTAACAGTAAAGGCAATGTTTATCTCCCATTTCTTTTTTACTGAGATTGATCCCCAAGTATTCTTCCATGATCTCCCAAGAAATCCAGCTCTATTTTCATTCCTAAGCAGCCAGCTGGATGTGACATGTGTGCTTTGGATAAAGGTGGAATTTAGGTGGTGGAAGGTGGATGAAAGGTCAAGAGAAGTTTAAGGGGAAAACAGCCTCTCTAAACGCTTCTGTATTCATGGAGTTTGACAACACTGAGCTAACCACTGAGACCAAAGCCTTGTATCTCATTTCTGTGGGCAAAAATGAGGAATTATTTTTGGCACACTGTGGGTGTCTCAGTCTTTCTTTAGAAACTACTTCAAAAACATTCATTAAACCCCTTTTTTCTCATTGCTTGCATGCTGGTCTTTGAGTTCAGTCATAGATCTGAACTAGCATAAAATAAACCTCTGTAACAAATATCGATGGCATTCTATGTAGAGTCAGGTAATTTTCATGATGTTTTCTTACTCAGATGTGAATTCTATTCCTCAGTATCATGCAAATGACGGCCAAAAACCAAGTCCACTGAGTGATTAGGTTTCACTCCCACCTACTAACTGGCCACTCCCATAAATAGTACAGGCTGACAGGTGGAAATTACCTAAACATCTCCTGGAAAGCAGCAATGTAATTGAAATCTGGCTCATCTTAAGGTAGCCACCAGCAGTGTTGACGTCACATTTAGGTTTTACAAGCAGGTCATGGCAGAGGAAGGGGACAAGGACATTTTATTCTCTCCTTTGAGCCTTTCTAGTGCCTTTGCAATGCTCTCCTGGGGGAGCAAAGCATTGATGTGGAACTGGATACACAAAGACCTCACCTAACAGAGACAGAAGAGCAGGAGGTCCATGAGGGTTTTCTTTCATTTACTGCCAAGCAAGGTCTGCTTGAGCAATGCTCTGTCTGTAAACGGCAGGGCAGAAATCTCTGGACAATGACAGAGATTCATGACACTGAAACTGGCAGAAACTGAAGAGAAGATCAATGAGAAGTTTGAATGTAGAAAATTCTAACTAAGAACTTATTTTTACCATGTGATGGTTAAATACTGGAAAAGATTGCCCAGAGATCATGAAATCCTCCTCCTTGGAGGCATGCCCCTGAGGAACCTGATATAAGTAAGCATGCTTTGAGCAGATGGCTGGACTAGGGGATCTCTGGAGGTTTCTTTCAGCCTAGATTTTTATTCTGAGGTTCTGTTGCACAGGGGTAAGAACCTGTGAGGAAAACACACTGGCACACTTGTTTACTATGTTCTCTATAAAAATAAAATCTGTTTTACAGAAGGACAGTTTCAGAAATATGTTTTGTCTGATTATAACCCCCAAGTTTTTAATATTTCTATTCCATATTGGTTGATTATAAGGCTGCTGCAAGAAATCATTGGACAACACAGCTGGACAGAATTTGAACAAGACTTTATTACTGAGTGGATGCAGGATGTTCACAAAGCCTTTCTGACTTTTGCTGGGAAGCACAGGGAGGCAAGAAGCTGCCACCAGACAGGTTTGCTGAATATAGGTTTAATTCTTGTCCTTTCACTATTCAGGGGTCATCATTGACTGTGACTGTAGGTCAAACTGAATCTGACAAAAAAATAAGGAAAACTTTGCTTACAGTTGTGGGTTTGGAAATCCATGTAAGGTAATTTTTTATCTTGCACTTTTACTATGAACATCAACATGTGAATAAAAGGTATCTTTTTGAAAGTATAAATGAAGATGCTGTAAGCTTAAATGTGTGACTATCTCTGTGCATGCCTAATAATACTTTGAGAAGCCTAGCTGTGCACTGTACTAAAGGATTTTGCACCCTGACACAGTGGTACATGTTAGAGATGTTACTGGCTTAGATCTTGGCCACACCTAGATTGTGATTTCTTGGGTGATCTGAACTTCTGCTATGTTCAAACACATAAAACATGAATTTTGTATAGGCATTGCTAGTGTTTAGCTTAAAACCAGCCTCTCTCAAAATTCAAAATTAAGAATATTACTAACTGAGACCTGTTTCTAAATTAGATGGGATGAAGCAAAGTTTGTATGAGAAGACAACTTGAAATTGCAAGAATTCAACCACACAACACTTGAAAAGCAAAGAAAACTTGTAAGGAGAGATCTTTATCTCAAATGCATACATGCATCACTAGCCAGCTGTACTAACAGATAGTGTGCCAGCAGCAAGTTGTCAGATTAGACTGTGCTAATTAAACCTTATTACTTTGTTAGGCACAGCTCATTGAATAACCACTGTGTAACTGTTCACAGTTCTTTAATTCTTACAGCCATAACCAAGTAAAAATGTGAGGGTAGAATTTTCTTTAATATAAATTACAAAAATCAACATGGTTGTCTCCCATGAAAGCATAAACAGAATACACAAGGTCAGAATAACCATGCACATGAGCTGTGTTTAAATTAGAAGTAAAAACAAAACTGTTTCATTAGCAAATGTGCCAATGAGAAAAATGAAGCAAGCCAGAGAGACACATTTTAATGCGTCCAGAATCTGTGTTCGTATGCCTAATGTAAGATTTTAGGCTGCTATTTTAAAAAGTCATTTTTAAGCCAACCATTACTACTCAGAAAAAAAAAAAAGGTTAAACAACAGCTGGTTAGGACCAGTAGCACTTTTCCATGGACAAAATTTCCACCAGCATAACTGGAGTTTTCAAAGCTGGAGTTTTAAAATTACACTGTTTAAGTTCCAGCAGGGCTTATGC